TTCTATTAGCAGTGTGGTCCCGTTAGCAGTGTGGTTCTGTTAGCAGTCTAGTTCTGTTAGCAGTATGGTCCCTTTAGCAGCATGATGATAGTAACGACTGTGGCAATGGACGGTGACTGCCCTGCAGAACCGGGTCAGCAGACAAAGAAAAATCAAGGTTTCTCCGCGGAGTCGAACTGTTCTGTCTGTACAGGCAGATGGAGGATCGTGGAGACGACAGCTATGACAGGCCTGAGCTCCAAGCTGGAAGGGGCCCGGGAACTGAACCAAGATGGCAGGATGGAAAGGCAGAGACACACAAAACTCCAAAAGTGCGTCGCGGTCATACCCGTAGCGTGGATGTGCAGTGTAGGCGCAAAAAAAGTTCAAACAAAAACAACTGGAACAATAAAAGATCGAGTCCAAGCGGAGCTCCCGTCAGTGCGTCCATACTATGGCGCACGTGACGTCAAGAAGCACAATCTCATGAGCAGAACATAAAACTATTTAAGAGCATGAACTAAGACAGTTCAATTTATTTGTTTTTGTAAAGAAGATCCAGCACAAGCAGAATAAACAGAAGAGAGATGATAATAACAAGCAATTATCTTTACAAGAGGTCACAGCAGGTGTGTACAGGTGTGTACAGGTGTGTACTTGTGTTCATCAGAGGGCTTTGCAACCCTTTATGGGACATAAACAAGTCCCTCTGAGGTAAATCATTACATTTAACTATGAATGCTCAAGTTACTGTAAAGGTTAACACAGTTCTGGCTACAAAAGATGTTGGTGTGTTAGTGTAGGTTGAAGTTATCCTCAGATGTAAAAGGAAGGCAGGTTTAGGTTGTGTATGTGCACATGTGCATGTGTGTCTCACATCAAATTGGATTCCCAAGTAGTTCACTGTAATTTCAATGCCCCTCGTCACCGGATCCGTCTTTCCAACTCGATCAAACACAATGTTTATTGTGGCCTATAAATAAAAGAGTTTTATTTGTATTAAGATGAATATAACCATGTGCTAAACTGTAAACACACCAGAACAATTGAAAATAACAGTATATACAATATAGACAGTATACGTGATGTTGTCATAGTATATTCATGTTCTTACCATGAAGATTTTCCAAACGCAATAGATGGAGAAGAAGTAACCAAGAAAGTTGAAGTATTTTCCCTGAAACGTCTTCGAGTATTCAATTCGTTCCTAAAAAACGAGAAAAATGGTATAAAACGTAATCATTTTATGCAGGTAAGCAAAGAGTGCTGAGCATAGATAAATAATTGTGTCTACAAGAGGCGTCCTGCAGGTTATATTAACTGGTTTCATTTAAAGGACTAACTAACTTACATGACAAATATGTATTTTTGTGCCACAAATAGACTGATGTTACCTTGGTAGCTTGTAAATCCACAGTCTCGAGGAAGAGTTGTCGACTTAACTCCTCCAGAGCATCAACTTCCTGCTGGATCTGAGAAAGATCTGAGGGGTGGGTGAAAGTCATGGACAATATCGACTTCAGCCGATAATATATATCGGCTATTATATCACATATGATACGATAATAAATAGTTATTATCATTATAAATATAAGCACAAAGGATACTTTCACTGCCTGTCTGAGTGGAGGTGACACTCTTGATCATTCCCCAGAATCCTGTCTGTTTGTTCTGGTCCTCCCCTCGTTGGTACATTTGCCTCCGTGTCATGGCAATCCTTCAAATGAAGCAAGATGATATTTCATATTAAGTGGCAAAACAGAAGCAAACGTAATCAGAAGTTTAGAGATGACTCACCGCTTCTTTTTGCTGACAATCATGTCCATGGTTTGGAGCAGCCGTCTCTCCAGTGCAAGAATATCACTGTCGGTCACATTCCTATGAAAAGAAAAAGGGTTAAATTATAAAGAATAAGCCTTTTTTGCTTGAAAAGTTTTCTTCAAGTAAAAAAATACAACCGATTTGGTTTATTTAGCGATTCATAACAAAGATGAGATAATTTGTTGCATGATCTGGCTAAATAAGGCAATGCGAGGAAAAAAAACAAACATAAGTGAACTCACCTCAGGAAATACGACATGTATGTGTAGGGACAGTTGACAGCACCAAACCCAGACAGCAGAGCCATGAGAGTGACTCCAATCACACCGACACGACTGATTAGCTGCTCGATGGACAGAATTCCTGCAGAAAAGTCAGCAACACATTGTAAACAGAAAAGCTGCAGGGCGATTAGAGACATTTATAAATGCAGTGTTTCCGGTACGCCTGGCATGTGAATGTAAAGTGACTGATGTCAAGTGAAGACAGCTACACTCACTCACCATGTTTTGGGCTCAAGATGGGGAACGGGTCACCCAACTTCCAGAAGAAATACATGAAAGTGAACCAAACCATACAGGAAAAAAGAAGCCTTTGCTTCTGCACTGCACACATAAGCAGATTGATGAAAGATGACATATCAGCAAACATTTGGTCCTTAAAGTTTGTAAAGTGGTCGTACGTACACAGTCGTATGTTGCTGACAACAAAGTAACCGATGTAGAAAGGCACCACAAAGATTAAAACCAGCAGAATCACGTACAGATTCAGCTTCCAGTGGAAATACCTGGAACTGTGATGGAGACATGAAGTTTGGTAGCGTTCATCCACTGTGAGCAGTGAAACACATTCATCCTACAGGAAAGCTCCTACCTGCTGCTTAAGGCACCGAGAATCTCAAAGATAATGAGCTCAAACATGGTACATGAAAAGGCAAAGGTGACTGAGAACACCACCTGGACAACATACTGACGCACCTGGGAAGACAAACAGTTTGTCGGACATTAAATACTAGATCTAGTAATTCTTAGCCTTTATAGTCTCTTTGAATATTTGACATAATAGTTTTATAAATAGATGTCTTGCAATACCATCATACCTCATAATCCTTGAATAGCTGCCGCATAAAAAACAACCAGCCAAACCCAAAGAAAAACACCTGTTTAAAAACAACAAGCAATAAGCAAAACAGAAGCTCACTGCATCACATTCTGTCAATATGTTGTTGTTTTTCTGTAGTTCTCTGGAATATGACAATTTTAACAAGTTCAATTAACTATACATACATATATTAGTGTCTATTAAGGCTTAGACTTATTCTCACTAGTTTACCTTCCATTGCTGTCTGACAAATTTGAAATTAACTAAAAGTTTGTTATATTATTATTTGCGCAATTTATCTCAATGGTGTTGACGAGTAAAAATAAATCACTTTAAACAAAAACGAATACATCTATTAAAGAGTCAGATATTGCTTTGAGATGCCAAATGTGTTATATATCACATTTATTTATGCTGAAAGTTAGCTTTAGTTTATTCCACCTTAACAAGTGTAATAAAAACATGGATAAAGAAACTGTAACTTGTAAAAATAATTATCAGTACTGAAGATTCACTTTGAATAAGGCCATATAAAAACACACCAGACAAATGTGATTTGAGAGATTTGCAAAAGATAATCAATTACTATTTAAACGGCAGAGATAATAAATAATCCCGTCTATTTTTTATGTTAGGTGGTCACTCAGTTGAGTAAAATTGTAACAAAAGAACGTTTTCACGTACTATTACGTAGTAGTAGTGCGTATTAATATACTACGAACATTATGTCGGCGCAACATCAATGTATCTAAGTCAATAGAAACTGCAGCTAATTAAAAATACTACACAATATGAAATTAATTATACGTGTTATGGCTCACGTGTCAAAAAGTTATGCTAGTATTTATTTACAAATTAAGACGCGGTAAAACCTTTACAAGCAGTCGACATAGTGACAACATACTCGCACGATTTATGAGGGTAGAGCAAAAATAAATTAGTTTTACAACTTGAGCTAGATGTTTACATGAGGTTGACTTTTTCCAAATTACCTGGGAGGTGAACATGATGACTGAGTCCACCAGAAATGACATGATGATGAACTAAAAAACCTCTAACTCAGCAAAACTTCAAAATTTCAGTTCATATTGACTCAAAAACAGAAAATACCCCTTTGCTTGAGCATAAACTGTCTGCCAAGTCACTAAAGAGGTCATTTTAGGAGCACTTGTTCAGCTGTCCAACTACAATCCGTCACCAAAGTACGCCCGACGGATCTACTTCCGTCGCACGCGTGTGACGTCATAGAATGAAACGTAAATAAAAAACGAAAAATAAAAGTTTTTTTTATAGTCTAACTACCATGTTTACTGGGTGTGTAGAATAATACGTTCAAAGAATTACAGCAATAATAGAGACGATACTAAAAAGTGACTTTGAATTCTGTTTAGATATTTTTCCTTTGAATTTTGAATATTGTTTAATATTTAAAATCTATAGTGACGGTGTTTTCATCTAAACATTATTCTTGAATACTATTCAGTTGCGCATAATTTATAAATCAGAGAAACATTGAAAACTAGTTAAATTGTGGCGTGTGGATGTGGAACCAGCAGTTCAGATAAATAAACACGAGAGGGCGCTGTTATACAAATATGTGGTATTTATTAATGAGTCTTTTGAGCTTCTTCACTCCTTTTAGTACCAGTACAGCCACTGGCTGAAGTCTGAGCTGGTGGTGCGCACACTATGTTGTATTTAAATCAGTAGAAAACAGTTTCTCACTCGATAATAAACCAAAACTGCTGGATTATAAGAATGTGCACTTTGCTGAAGTTTTGTTTTTAACATTAGGACACCAGGTAAGTCGATCTTATGTATATAAGTATTCTTGTTCAACTAGAAATACAAATTGATGAGCTGGGTTGTCTTTATTTTTAATTAATGCCACTAGTTTATGCTTTAATTTAGTTAACAATATAATGCATATCTTGAAAAAAGTCTTGATGGTAGGAAATTAACAAACTATGTTTACAAAGTTTTTCTAAAAGTCACCAGTATGCTCTGTTTGTGTCATTGCAGCATTACATTTTCTGTTACACTGTCATGAACCAGTTAAATTTTATGCTCCCAGTGGATGAACATGGTTTTGAATCATTTGTTGTAACTAATTATTGATCTTTGAATTAGACAGTAGCTCTACTGCTAAAAATACAGTACTTTTGATTTAAATAGAGATAAAATACAAAGCTATGTGTGCACAATGCTCACTGTGGGCTAACTATTTTTTCATACACCCCCAATGACTACAGATGGATTTATTCTATTTTTTCTACCTATTTTTAATGTGCACTGGTCACGCTACATAAGAAGCTGTCATATAGCCTCAGGTTTACTGTTTATGTAAAAAATATTTAAAAAAAAAAGTGAAATAAGCCCGTATATGTGAGACTGTCTGGCATTAATGTAAAGTCAATTGTAAAACTGTTGCATCACAATTTGTGCAAATTACAGAAGCTTTTGATTTTTATCTTCAGATGGAATTGTTACAAAGTGTCAGAACTCTGTCCTTTACTTATTGAACAGTGAAGAAGATGGTGATCTCCAGCCCTTGTGGAAAAGTTCTGCAGATGTGTCTACTACTTTCAGTGGGACACATACACTGTGAGTATGAACATGCCAAACAAAGCGAAACAGATTGCATCAAACTGTGCCAGCTTGTTGCTGCGATGTGAAAATCTCGGTGGGTGTTTCAGGCAGAGTAACAGCACCAGCGGTTCTGAAAGCTCCTGCGGACAAGCCCTTCACGCTGACCTGCACCGTCTCCAGAGATCGAGGTGAAACTGTGAAGCAGGTGCATTGGCTGGATGTCCAGAATCAGACCCTGCTGAGCTACCAGCCGGGAAACAAAGACAGCGTGAGTGGACAGCAGCACGTAGAGCTGTCCTCCTCGTCGAAGGACACCTCAGCCATCACCATTCGCAGGGTGGGCTTCCGGGATGAAGGCTGCTACACCTGCATCTTTGAGCTGCGTCCTTCTGGTTCAAAGCAGGGACAGACATGTCTCACTGTTGATGGTGAGTCAAACTTTTTATACTAAATAATTTAATCTCAATAAAGCTCTAATAGGCAAAGAAAAAATATGAATATTTAAAGCTAGCATAAATTCATAATCTATAGGTGTATTGTTGAACAGATAAGACTTGAAAGACAAAACCAGTGAACATATTTTCAATAAACTCAGCAGAAAAAGATATTACCTGTATTGCAAGGAACAATATCTGCTACATAATTTATACATTTGATATATACTGGCTAGTGTACATTGTGCATATCCATACTTTATTTTGCCTTGCAGCACTATAAAAGAGGGCAAGTAAAACTAAATGTGATTCTATGGTTCTCTCAGCGATTTGTGTGAATGTTGATCAATCATTCACGCTGTGATCCATTTTTCTTCTGTACAGTTTTCGGCATTTTTTCTCGTCCCGCAGTTTTCAAGCTATTTCAACAAATCATAAATCTAAACGTTCAGGAAGGGTGTATGACTTTTGGTATGCGTGCAACTTTAGCTTTTTTTTTTTAGCCTTTTCTGCCATTATTTTCATAGAAAATGAATTGTTGCTTGTCTTACATCCTTCAAATTTTTTGATCTGTTTACAAACTTTTACTGCTCCTTTCACATTTTGTTCTGCTTCAGCTTTTTTCAGCTTCCTTGTGCACATTTAAATGTTTTTCAGCTACTTTCAGCTAATTTCAGCTGTTGTTTCAGCTGTTTTGTGCATCTTTCAGATTATTTCTGCTAATTTTAGCATATTGTGCTCCTTTCAGCTTATTCATGCAAGTTTCAACTTTTTTTCTGCTATTTCAGATACTATTTAACTGTTTTTATGCAAATTTAGGCTTTTTCAGCTCATTCCACATTTGTTGCACTCATTTCAAACTTTTCACAGCCTAATTCAGCAAAAATGTGCTCTTTCCACATCCTTCTGGTAATTTACGCTTCTTTCTACTTTTTTTTAGCTTTTGTTTAAGCTGGTTTTACATTAATTTCGTGGGGGGGGGGGGGTGTTTAGATAATTTCCACATTTTTGTGCTAATTTCTGCTTTAATTAGCATAATTGAGCAAACATGTTCTTTCTGCTTTTTTCTGCTATTTTAAGTTATTTTTACAATTTCTGTTAGGTTTTTTTAATAGCAATTTCAGCTACTTTTTACCTATTTTATGCTCATTTTAGCTTTTTCAGCTGATTCCACATTTGTTTTAGCTCATTTCAGCTCTTTCCACATCCTTCTGGTAGTTTAAGCTTCTTTCTACCTTTCAGCTATTTTTCAGCCATATTTTGCTAATTTCAGCGTTTTTAAGCCAATTTCTTTTTTTTAATTCTCATTTCTGATTATTTAAACCTAATTCAGCAAATGTGTGTTCTTTTTGCTTTCCTCTGCTAATTTAAGCTTGTTCTTCCATTTCAGCAACATTTCAGCAATTTTTTTTAGCTTATTTCAAGTGTTTTTCAGCAAGTTCTTCTGCGTTAAGCATTCACACTGCATTTTCGCAGGAAATTCAGTTTCTCTAGTTTGAATAGTTTAAATAAAAAATGCACTAAAGTACAATAATATGAGTTTTGCAGCAGTGTGGTTTTGACATTGAGCTTGTTTGTATTTGTGGTGAGAACAGAAACATGAACAAAATATATGTAAAAAAACTTTTTTTAATGCATTTAACACTATAAAGAAGCTCCAAAATGTGACACAGTTGGAAAAGTGAACTGAGTAGGAAAAGTCTCCACATGAAACCTGATGCAGAGAAGACAGACAGCTCTTAGAGACAAACTGATTCTCTGTTCAAATGACACGAGCTACCTGCTGTTTGACACGTATACTGTAAAACATTCACATCTGGGTTTTAATATTTAGACTCCACAGTCGGTGTCCTTGTTGGTGTTTCATTTCATCTGATTTGAGATGCCTTCTTTTTGCACACATGGATTAAAACAGCAATGAGTGAATGCAGATGTTCCTTACTGTTCATCTGCACATACCAACGAGCCTGCTGAGACGCAGCCAGTCATGTTAATAAAGAGCGGAGCAGCGGCAGGAGAAGGAAGGCTTATCCTTCTGCTGCTGCAGATTCCTCCGACTGCTTTCTGTTTGGGTACATCATATCTCTGTCAATGAACATTTTCCTGTTTGCACCCACTTCTCTTTGCTTTCTTTTCTCCACATACTGCACACTTTTGTTTTTCGCCCCCCAGCCCAAGTCACTTCTGAGCGAAACAAAACAGCAGTGAGTGGAAAGAAGGCCTCCCTGTCCTGCTCCTACGGTTTGCCTGAGAAGGTGAAGCAGATTATTTGGTTTCATAATCCTGCTGGAGGCCCGTCTAGAGAGGTGGCCTCATACGCCAAGAGGAGTGACCCCATGATCGAGCCTGCGTACCAAGGAAGGGTTTGGCTCACCGCCTCCCTGTCCGACAGTCAGCTCACCATCCAGCCTGTTGCTGTCCAGGATGAGGGCTGCTACACCTGCCAGTATGAAACCCATTCTGATGAAACAAAGAGCGCCGTGGTTTGCCTCTCCACATACGGTAAATATTCACACATCACCAAAACTCAGTAAACGTAAGAGACAAAAATCTTTTACGTCATTCCACTGTGATGCTCAGATTACTTGTGAATTATAAGGTTACTTTTTGCCAAACAGACAGGATCTTTTTTACAACAAATGTGATTGCAAATTTATTTTTTTTAAACCAAAGCTAAATATTATTTTATCATTTGGCCACAAAAATAAGATAAGATACATTTTTCTATCCCAAAGGAAAATTGGTAGTTGCCAGATGCTTCCATTCACAATGATAAAGCCTACAGTACAATACATACAATAAATACAACGAAGGACAACCCTGACACAATAAAACATGAAATTAAAAAAGGAGGTAGCAAAAGCACAGTAAAATATATTGACAGTATGTTTTAGCTGAACCGTAGCATTTATAGATGGAGTAGTTGGTGCACCTTTAATCCATGGCACCACTCCCTCCTGTGTCCAGGATAAGAGCATTGAAAACTAGAAATAAAATCAGTAGCTACTGCACCACAGTCAAACCATCCCCCACCCCTTCATTTCCCAGCCCTTTCAGAGGGGTTATGTAACCTGATAGCCAAAATAATAAAACGTTCTCGTCTCTTGGTGGAGCAGCTCAGTGACAGCAGCCTTCACTGAATGTGCTCCTCTGTTAAAGGCAGCTTGGAGAGAGTGACTGGTGTCCGTTATAGCCTTCAGCCTGGGTCTTGCTCTTCGCTCCTCCACTGCCTCCACAGAGTCTGGTTGAAGATCTTGTTGAAACACCAGGTGTCCCTCACCCTCATGCTGCCACCTCTACAGACCACGGTGTTAAAGCTGATGTAGCGTGAGATGGATGGTGGATGGAGAGGGGTGAGGGTGAGGCAAAGTGGCAGGCAACTAAAGTCTCCACCTGCTTCGAATGTTATCAGCCATTAAATGGTGGTTATCAGTTGTTATCATCCCCATATGTAGCAGTCAGACTGCCCCTCCTGTACCTCCTAGTGGGTTTAAAGGTACATTGTTAGCATTTTTAGTGATGATAATAGGCTCCGTTTTTACATTTGTTAGCGCTCATAATAGCTTCACGTGGTTAAAAGTAAAGGGTCTGGCGGTTAGGTTTAGGGTCTTGGTTAGGTTTAGGCCCAAGGGTAAGGGGGTTAAGTTTAGGTTTGGTCCTCTGGGTCAGGTGTAAGGCTAGGATTAGGAAAAGGGTTACATAAGCTGAAAAACAACAACAACAAAAAAACACTTCCTGGTTTACCCCTGTGTGACGCTGCCTATTATCAGCGATAATAACGTACCTTTAAACCTACTAGGAAGTAGGTGGGACAGTCTCACTGCTGCATGTGGGGGTGATAACAACTAATAACGGCCATTTCATGGACTGATAGCATCCAAAGCCGCTCAAAGTTTCTATGTATATTTATATGAAGAAAATACAGAAAGAAAAAAAATCTCTTAAAATGTATTAATTGGGTTGGAAAAAAGAGAATAATGGCTACAGGAGAGTGAAGCTTTACTAAAAGATCTCTCCACCCTGTGAACAACTTCTTTTCTACAAAGATGACATCCTTGTTTTCTCCTACCTGTCTGGAAGTCTTCCCAGTCAAACAGCTCCTGTCAATCATTTTATCTTTACTTTGAGAGGAGAAAAGTCAAGACAAAACAGTAAAGTCAAGTTGCAGACAACTTGCCACACCTTTAATTTTCTGTTACCTCAAAGTGGGAACACTTCCTTAAATTATTGCTCAATAATTTGTTACCACAGTTTGAAAAAAACTGCAAGCAGAAACTAGTTTTGTTACTCCACCCAGTCAGCTTTCACACATCCATCCATCCATCCATTATCTTTACCCGCTTATTCCATTTTTGGGTCACGGGGGTCGCTGGTGCCCATGTCCATCAATCACTGTGTGAGAGGAAGGGTCCACCCTGGACAGGTCTCCAGTCCATCACAGGGACACACAGAGACAAACAACCATTCACTAATTTAGAGTTACCAATCAGTCTAGCATGCATGTTTCTGATCTGTGGGAGGAAACTGGAGAAAACCCACGCATGCACGGAGAGAACATCCAAACTCCACCCAGAAAGGAGGATTTGATCCGGCAACCTTCTCGCTGAGAGGTAACAGCTTTGCCAACTGATCCACCGTGCCGCCCAGATCAATTTATTAATATTATCTTCCTTGTGGCTGCTGAATGTTTTTATGATTTTTGCAGGAAAACTAGAGTTTGCCTGATGTGCTAACACACAAACACAGAACAGTTACATCCATGTGAAGAATGGATTGTTTATAAGAATGATGGGGGGGGGGGGGTCTGTATGACTGTGTCAGTGTTCACAGCAGACAGTGATTCTCTCTGTGCATTGTCTGCCTCCCGTTGTGCTCATTCACGTTTCTGCTTATCTCCTGTCCCCTTTCTTTCTCAGTCGCCTGAAGAAACAGACGTGCTTTTGTTTCAAACTGAGCTGTACGCCATATTTTCATCATCCTGACACATGATTAGCATTTATGTTTTTTTATTCTTTCTATCGCCAGGCATTCCACATAAAATTACATAATCTCTCCGGCTTTGTTGCCATTTTGAAAACATACCCTCTAATGATGATTGGTTTAGTCTGTTATCATTCTTTCATACGGTGACAGCAAGAGCCTGGACTATGTGGAATCCTCTCCACACGCACTAATTACAGTCAGGTCTGAGCATATTTGGACACAGACTCTGTGTTTTACTGTTTATCAAAATGTGTAGAAGAAACAACATATGATGGACGTGTTGCAAAAAGTGCAGGCAGGTTGAGTCCATCTTGTTCACTTCAACTTTTAAAAAGGGTCCAAAGTTTTATTCTTTCATGTTTTTACTTTTGTCTTTAACAGATGAAATATGGGTTCGATCTTTTTCATACAAGGAGACTGACTGAGAAAAGGTTTAAAGTTTGTCCTCAAAATGTTTCACATTAACATTTCTAAATAGTTTAGGTTATTTAGGTCTGCACTTTGAAGTGTGTTCAAATCAGCTTTTCTGCATTTGTTCCACTTTGACTTATTTAACATTTTTGCTGCTTCTGTCTTGTGTTACAAGCATAAGCTGAAGAGTTTCTGTCACTGGAGCGATCCCTGCTCATGTTGCATCCACATGTTCTACAGATGTTGTATGCTTTCAGTTATTACCTGTTCTGAACATTTTTATAGTTTTACTCTTTTTTTCTGGTTCTCATTAAAGTTAGTTTGATTAGTTTTATTAATGTTGTTCTGATGTAAGTTTTTAAGGTCGTATTAGAAAATTTCTATCTGATTTTTAGTTGTCGCTGAGACATGTGAGTGGAGTACTCTGTCTGGTAAACCACTTGTTTTCACCTTCATGGAGGATTTTTTATATATTTTTAATACAATATTGTGTTTGTAGTTGTTACAGTGTTGTTTCATAGACAGTCCTGAACTTCTTTTCTTTTCAACCTGGGAAATATGGTGAAATCATATCAACTTCTTTCTGGTGCAAATAACCCGGTAACACCACGGATTCAAGCAATTTGAAAAAGACATTGTCTAAGTAAGTTAGTAAATTTTATTTATATAGCACCTTTCATAGATAAAATCACAAGGTGCTTTACAGAAATGCAGATGAAGGGCTTAATATAAAACAAAAACAGAAAGAACAGCTGATGCAAACAGTAAGAACAGCTAATAAAAGAACAGTAAGAACAGCTAATAAAAGAACAGTAAGAACAGCTAATAAAAAAACAGTAAGAACAACTAGTTAAAAAAGTAAGAACAGCTTATGCAAACAGT